GACTTTCAATAAGAATTACACATGTAATGTATATTGAATAAAAAATATTCTATTCTATTCTATTCTATTCTAGTGGTGATAGACCTGCCGGGACCTTCTAATTCGGCAGCAGCCCGGATTTCGGCGCCGCTCCAAATTGTTGTAATCTCCCGCGGCGTCACCCACCGTCACTTTCTTCCTTCTTCACTAGGACAGTCTATTAACTATACTTCCAGACGCCACTAACACTAAACTAAAGCGTAACACACCTCTAATACCGAAAATGTATCCGAATTATATCAAAGGCCACTCGAGCAAATTAATATTTTCAAATGCACTTATATGCTAGCAAATTAGAATAACCAAATTCGCGGTAAATTAGGCGCGCATAACACGCAATTCAGACTTTGATCGCAGTCAAGGTTAACTTCCTAACAATTTGTCAGCCCGGCGTCGAATTCTAGACTTAACAAGGAAACCTTTGTCGTGGCAACGTCTGCTACAAAAACAGACTCCAAAAAAATGGAGGTTTCCCGGGCGACTTTAAAACGTGCTTTCGATAGCACTGCATTATAGCAACTCTGTTACACTCACGTTCTGACCTCGCGCCCTTCTACCCGACGACGCACGAAAGTGGGGCCAAGGTGACCTTTACAAGTCAGCGGGCGGAACGAGTACGAATGCAAATTTCAAAAGTTAATTGTTTGGCCTAAACAATATATATATATATATATATATACATATATATGTATATATATATATATATATATATATATATATATATATATATATTGTTGTATATAAAAGAGGTCTTTGGTGCTCTACATTCACCATACGAAACGATATTTTACGCTGGTATTCTGTGAGAGCGTAGTCCTGCCCCGGTTGAGCTGACCCATTCGTGCTACACCACATAACCATACTACTAACATAGCTGTAGCATGGCTCTACCACGTACAAATCTACTTAAATTCAGCTGCTATATTTCCGCCAAATTATCCTTAGACTTATTATGGGTTTCACAGGGAATATTAACTGTGTTTGTTTAATCGACACTGGGTTTGTTTCGCGAAACGTATACAGAGGGCACTGCTACGACAGCACAACAGCGGTAATACCATGGTCCTCTCTTTTGTCGCTAGATCACAACTACCAATAAATCGATTACGAACGTATTACCCGTTTTCCTCTCTGCTCCCTTAAGATATTATGAATCTTTCATTTATTAATTACAGCCTACCAAAAGTTCACTGCTGAACGTAGAGGGATCATTCACCATAGTTCCCTCTCTTATCAAGTGAGTTGGTAACCGCAATTTTTAATTATTTTGGTTGTTATCAGGAAGATACTAAGATACTAATTTTCCGCTAAGCAAGTGGTAAATTATAAATTAAAATTAATTGCCGCCTGTATGAAAGATCACATTACTTGAGAACTGATGGACTGATTTTGATGAACACTCACACTCACAATTGGACCCGGTAAGTAGCGCTGTTATCGAGATCTAGAAAACAGTCGTAAGAAGCCGTGAGGATCGTTACTAAGCATATAAAATTGGCTTAATAAGTCAAGACTTAATATTCATGTATTATTATGTTTTTAACAGTGGTAGAGCCACGCGGCAGCTTTTGCTGTCGTACGGATGTGCCGGCTCGAATCGGGGTGGTACCACGACCTCACAGAATACCAGCGTTTAGTAGAGGTTTACATCTGCGTTTCGCTTGGTGAGTGCAGGTGGCCGGATGCCCTTTTTACTGGAAATGAGGCATTCCATCTTAGTCCTCACGGGTGACAACGCATCTGCATCTTGATACGCAAACGAGGATAGATGTAGATGTCTATGGGCCGCAGCAACCACTTACCATCAGGTGGACTGTGCGCTCGTTTGTCACCCATATAATATTAAAAAAAATTAGTTTTTAAAGTTTGCGATACGAATATTTCCACTGTAATATAATAATCATTACTTAATTTAGATAAAATACTTGATCGTTTGAATAATAATAAGTCTAATCCTATTTTCTTTGAATTTTTAGACATATATATGTAATAAAATAAATAAAATAGATAACTAAATATACACGTATATATCGATGTCACTTGTTGCTAACAATGTGAACGAAATCAACTCGAGTTACTAACTCGAGTTAACTCGAGTTGGATCTCCCTAACTCGAGTTTGGGCTGCTGTAATATACTATATAATAAACGGATCAAGTGAGCCAGCAAAAGAGTAAGAGCGCAATTCGTCCGTTGTGTGCCTGCTTTATGTTTCAAAGAGTATTTAGATACAACCACAACAATTTGTTATTTAGAATTTTATAATAGCTAAGTTATGTAATTTAATTTCTTTTTTTTTTAAACGTTACCCCCACACTAAGATTTTCTCTTGTATCGTGGAGGCAGCTTACAAACACAAATTACACAAGGACAAACATCCAGACCCGGAACAATTATTTGTAGGCCATACAAATACTTCTTTCGTGCGGGATTCGAACCCGCGCCCCCCAGCGCAGCAACTCATTACTAAGCCACTGCGCCACGGAGCCGTTAGAAAATAATATATAATTTCTTTAATTAATAATAATTAATAAATTAATTAGAATTTCTTTTATAATTTTGATTAATTATGATTAATATAGATATATTATGTTATGATCTATTATTGTAATACCCGAAAAGGGTGGTTAAAATAGATACATCATATTTTAAATTATCGCCAAATGTAACACTTAACTTACAATAAATATTTTGAATTTGAATTTACTTAATAATATTTTGACTATGATAATTCAACTATTATTTTAATAACTTATGTACCTACATCTTAAAGCGAGACTAATATTGTTTAGTGAAGACTGCTATATAGCTAGTTTTGTTATTAAATACAGGTACTTACTATAACTAAGATTAAAACTAAATATACATATGTATGTGATATATATACTAAATATACCTTTTTATTTCAATCCTGCATAATAAGTTTGGTAATTATAGTTATTCGAAACCACCAAAGAGCTAGACAGAAAAATAAACTTTTAAAAAAGTAATTTGTAACAAATCATTTACTCTGTTTCGTACTGCTAAGTCGAGTTTAAACTCGAGTTGTGTGAATTTCAACTCGAGTTTACTCGAGTCGTAGTTTTTCCGAGTTGGCACATCTATACTACAAATCACAAACTATGATTCAGCCGTTCAGAGAATGCGTTCCTGACACGTCGCGATTGAACTGACGACGTAACTTTGTAATGGCGTTGCAGTTACGATAAAAATATTATTGCTGGTTGTTTACCGTTTTAACAATTGATGAGTATTAAAACAACATTATTATATCAATAATCAATGAATGTTATAATTTTGTGCCAAACTGAGTGTCAAATAACTTGGTAAACAATATTTTTCTAAATCTATACTGTGCTATTACAAGGTTATATCAGCGCTTTATATTTGTAGTGCTGTGCTAACAATAACAGGCAATAACAGTATAGTAATCTGTTCTTATACAGTTATACTTTATAAAATATTACGCTTTGTTTTTCTTTTTAAGAATTTGAAAATAATGGACTATAAGATAACTTTTATTAAATATAAAAATAAAACTACGACCAAACCGAACGCGCGAAAGAAAGTAGCATTTTTATATTTAGGTTGAAAATGGTGGTATAACTAGAAACACTCACGCGTCTTCTAAAGTAACGTCACATATAATACTACTACAATAGGGATGTCATTTTTCAAGTAAGGCCGGCCACATACATACGAAATTCCGTTTCCGGATTACGTTTCGGAATTCCGAACGGGTCGGCTACGCACGTACGGAATCCCGTTTTGCCCGCAAAATTTCGAACGGAAAACTACCGTACGTGTGTGACATGTCATAGATTTTATATGGACGTGCTGCGTTTGAAATCCCGAATCGGAATATCGAAACGGAATTCCGTATGTATGTAGCGGGCCCAAATCAGAAGATACGAGTGTATTTAATATCATATTTGGCCACAGACTAGGTACCTTTGTATAAACCGTAAATATTTGGCATAGAATAAAGAGACCACAGAGTACTTTGAATAATCCGAAAAAAAAAGACCAAAGATGACCACTTAACATTTCTATATCCACGCATGAATTACACGCAATATCTTTCAATAGATTTGTCTCTTTTTGTCTTATTTGAATTTTGAACAGTAAATTAGAAAAAGCGAGACAAGTATATTGACTCAATTTATGTAGAATTGTAGGTTCTCTCTTCTCTGTATGCATACGTATTTGTGTAATTACTCTAAGGTTTAACTCTATATAATATGCAGGTACGCTTACACCTTACAAACCACTTACAAACTTACATAGCATTTGCTAATAATCTATGACTGACTATGTGTATGGTTTGTATATTATGTGTATGGTTGGTGTGCTCTACTGCTTTATGCGAGTTTTGGCGGAAACTTGACCGGCGACGGATTGCTGCTCCAGTATTATTGTTTAACAAATCGTTTGAAGTGCATTTTGAAATGTAAAAATGGTGAGTTTTTTTTTTGTATTAAATGTCTACGCATGTGAACTATTAGTGGAAACGGTAAAACAAGTGGCCTCATGGTGATGTGATTCTGAAGATAAGGTGTCTGTCTGCTTAGGCGCCTTGAGATACTATCGCCAACTGTCAGCTGTCTGCTGGCTCAAGTTGACGTCAAAATCTCCCAAGGGCTGCATAATGTGATTCATTATATATTATAACATATTGTGAAGCAGTGATTCTGAAGGATAATTATACATTGTAACTTCAGGCTCAGAAGGGCTAGAACGCAGAGCCGTAAAGCCAATTATTGAAAAAATTACTACTTTATGGCAACAAAACTTGTTTTCGCGAGAACCATGCAAGCATCGTCAATTTTATTTTGATAGCAAAATTGTCATACAATTAGATAAGGATTGGTAAATTATTGCCCCTATCGATATAGTGTTATTATGTTTTATGTGCATTAGTCAATCGCCAGCCAAGTGGAGCTAATAAAGAAATTGCTCGCCATGGCCGGCCCGTCCGACGGCGATCCCGACGGATGGGTCGAGTTCTGTGAGCGCCAGGCTAAAACTGCCGCTCAGGACTTCGCCAAGGCTTGCTTAAATTTCATTCAGACTGGCGTCAATGATCCATCAAGTCGATCCCACGTCTCACAAAAGGAATTTTTAAAGAAATTTGTTGATTGTTTTACTGAACAGTTTGACTTAGAATTTGGCAAATTAAAAGCTCAGCACAAACTACCAAATGGCACGCACACTGGTCACGACGAAAGTGATTATTCGGAAGACACGGACTCTCCAAAAACACAACATAAACCGTTTTTCCGAAGATTGTCTTTTAAAGGTCTGCGACGCGGTAAAGGTCTTTTTCACAAACAGCATTCCGACGAGGTTGAATTGTCTTCTAATTTGAATAAACACAGTAAAACAAAATTGGCCAAAATTGTTGTGGAATGTAGAAAGGAAGGGTTGGTGAATTACTTAACACCTGAAAGCTTGGAGCAACCTGGTGGTCCTCAGAAATGGGAAAAATGCAGATTAGCTTTAGTGAAGACAGTAGGCGGTTATATGTTAGAATTTTATTCACCACCAAAGGCTCAAAAACCTCGAAGTGGAGTGTTTTGTTTCCTCATATCAGAGGCTCGAGAAACAACTGCCTTAGAGATGCCAGATCATGAAAACACATTTGTGCTAAAGGTAAATTCTTTTATATATTTACGTAATAACCCTATGGTAAATATATAGAAACTCCAAGGACTAGTAGTCTTAGTTGTAATACTTTACAACTGCTATACTACCCGTATCATCCTGTAAGTTAGTAAAATCGACAAAAGAAAAAAAGCAGGAATACCATCTTCCTGATAAAAAATAAATAAATTAAAAACTGGTTGCCAATCTGCCCACTAAGTGTAGCAACTATAACAAATTTCCTATGAGGTATAATTTTGCCAATTAAAGAATTAGACACATGACAGGAATGCAGTTTGGGCACCCGCATACCTCTATGCCCATGCTTCTCCTAGTGAACAATCACCATTCAGATGTTCCTTCACTAGTTCTAATGTCTTAGCTCTTATGTGCCCATAATTGTTTTGGTCACATAGTATAGAAAGGCATTCTTGAGTGCATCACTGCAGGTGGCATTAGCAAGCTCCTCATTATTGAACAAAATAATACTAGATTTATGTTTTGTTGAGTGGTGAAATAAAATTTTAAAATTTAATACATGTAAATTCATCTAATATTGCTATATTAAATATAAAAAAATTATTGGAATCATAACTAGTGTTGTCCTCTGTGTCAGTAATATTGTTACAATTATCTTGAAAATTTATATACATGTTATATTTTTGCTTTTCGGATCATGACAACTTAATATGAATTCTCTCTTGAGAAAATGATACATTTAACAACCTCAAAATGGACAAACAATACATAAGTAATTGAAATCACATATTGCACGCTACAATTAAACTAAAGCAATATTGCTTAAAAATAAATAGAGTAGAATCTGGATATAGTGACCATGAAGGAACCAGCAATATGGCATATACTAATCGGACAACTTACTAAACTGACATTATTTACAATTGTATTATGTATCATAAATATCTACTATGATTTTGATTATATAATTAATATGAACAAATATCAATGAAAATAAAAAAAAAGAAATAATATACACAGTAAGATACGCAATCTTTATTTTTAATTAAACATTGTATACATAGTTATATATTATGTATTGCTATAATAAACACTTTATACTTGTTAATAGAAAATTTTGATGTAGATAAAACAATGCAGATGTATGTATTAATAAATTATGTACTTTACTTCTGTAAAAGGTCTGTAATTTTAGTTTGTTTTTGATTTATTTTTGTTTGATAGTAAGAACTACTAACTATTTGAAGCTAACTATAACTATTGTGAAGATGAGACACATATTTTTCATAGTGTTAATATCAAAATTAGTATGTAAAAACACATACAGCACTTCTGCAGCTTTCAGAGCTTCGGACATACTGGGAGTTAAACAAATCTCCTCAGTCATCTAAACACTGTATTATAGCACTTTTTTCTTCAATTGAGAAACATTTTTTGTTTCACGAAATTCATTTTTGTGCTCATGTTTTATGTAGTGACCCATCACAGGGTGACAAAATAAAAACACTGATTTACGTGGGCAATCAAATGATGCACATTTAATTGCCCATGTAAATTAGGGAGGGGCGGGGAGTGAGCAGGGGTAGTGAGATATTTCTAAACAAATTAAAGATGCGCGTTGCTCTAGTAGGTGATTTTTTTGTAAATTATGTCGCTCAAAGCATTTGGATGCTTAAACTGGAGTCGTACTAAAACTAAAAAGCACTTTCTGAAGTCAAATGATAAGCCATTGCTTCAAACAGCAAGAAACTCAAAAGTAGACAATTTTTTTTAAAACAGTTACAATTTAACCTTATAGAATATATACATTGTTAAAAAATCTAAGGAAGCTTGTGTCTTTGCATTCTTATCTTAAGAAGTCATCTAATTTATAATATCCTTTCTCCTCAAGAATGCTTTATACATACACTTTCAAATTTATTCACTTTCCTTACCAATGGTACTCTATGCAAAATAGAATTTGGAAAAAAGAGGCTCAGGTGATATTGAGCGTTCCCTAGCTTACACACACAGAAGCAATATACACTTCATCTTGTTTTAGTGCATGTAAAATGGACAATTTAGGTGGGATGGTCTGGTCTGATAGACTACACACAGAAGATTAGGTGGGTTTTATATGTTTATGAAATTTAAGTTTCATGCCGAGTCCCTAAACTACCTCTGCTAGCATTATGAAAAACCTGTGGTTAATAAAGTATTCAATAAATAAATCAATATAACTCCAAAAATAAAATAATATCATTTTATATTCTACATTCCAGGCTGACAATAATATGGAATATGTAATAGAAGCAGCGGATGTCGATGACATGAAGTCATGGCTGGCAACAATTAAGTACTGTATGCGATCAGCACCCACAACACAACCACCTCCTGATTCACTAGCAGGTATACCAGAACCTGCTCCACCTGATCTGCCACCACGTCGGGATTTACCAGCTAGTACTAGTAATGCAGATCTAGCCACCGATACTCCCGAAGAAGCTGAATTAGGTTAGTACTGTAGTTCTTATTACATTGTAGTAATTATTTTATCTACAAATTAGTAAATATGAAGTATGAATAAAACTAAGAATGAGAAGTTTATTAAAATATTTGAAGATTTAATATAATGTAATTCAATTAAACACCTTTTGGTAACCTAGTTAGTAAGTAACTTAGCTAGGAGACTCAGGATCCTACTTATTTGTAACTGGTCGTCATGATGTCTATACACAAATAAATAAAATTGAAGTGTCTGTTTGTAATGTCAAAATTAGAGCTTTTTATTAAATGCATATGAAAGTATATACGGTACTAATAACAAAAATACAATTTTTAAAGTTTTTGTCTGTCTATAAGTCTGTTTGTCTCTTTGTTTCGGGTAATCTCCGAAACGGCTGAACATATTTTGACGGGATTTTCACTGGCAGATAGCTGATGTCACAAAGAGTAATTTAGGCTACTTTTATTATAGAAAAAGAATTAGGTTTCCACGCAAAAAAATTAAAACCCCAAATAACACGCGAGCGAAGTCGCGGGGAACAGCTAGTATTGTATATATTTGTTTGTGTGGGCAGGTTCGATCGCGGAGGAGGCGTGCGGCGCGGGTGGTGGGGGGGGGTGGGGGCGGTGCGGGCGGCGCGGGCGTGTCGCTGGGCGCGTGGCCGTGGTTCCACGGCACGCTGGCGCGCGCGGCCGCCGCCGCCTGCGTGCTGGCGGGCGGCGCGCCGGCGCACGGCTGCTACCTCGTGCGCCAGAGCGAGACGCGCCGCGGCGAGTACGTGCTCACCTTCAACTTCCAGGTGACACGCGACCCTTTCACATACTTAACAAATAAAAAAAAACTTTAAATTAAAAAATATATACACATATTATTTTATTTAAAAGTGTATTACATTATAATAGATATTTAAATAAACAGGATTTACACATATTTAAGGTATGTTCCGATATACACTGCGAGCACTGTTCATTGCACTCACTAGTAAAAAATTAATTCCATTATGGACTGCCAGTATACTGCCGCAGTACCCTAGGGTACAATGGCAGTATACTAACATAGAAAATGTCACGTAAATTATATTAAATGATACTATAAATAAATAAAAATACATACAATAGGTACATAAAACATATATAAACTAATATGAATATAATACAAGTATAGCCATTCAACAAAGAAATGCAACCAGCATTCTTGGCACGATACCGCGGGGAGTAGGACTGTATGATAATTAAGTTACTAGTTTTTTTATTATAGTTTTTAATATTATATATTATGTTATTTAATAAAATAATAAATATTAATTAACAGGATGCAAAGAAATTATCTCTAACATGTTTTTTAAATACCACAACTTTTTATCGTATATATATATATATGTTATTAATAATATGTTGTTTTATTAAAACACATAAAAGATATTTTCATTATAATTATAATTTTCAATTCGTTCTATAACCGATATAGACTAAACACTGTTTCCCTAAGCAATCTTATAGAGTGGCACATCTCTATCGACTAGGGTCTATACATGTGCGAATGTCTCGGAAAGCCAGCTTCAGCACGGCCAAAATAGAATGTGTGGATCGTACCTACATATATGTATGTAAACCTACGTAAATGAGCAGACAAGAAAGGGATTTTACCACTCAAAAATACCTATCTACGTCTTCATGATATTGATATAACTAGCATTCCAGTATATTAGCAGCCAATTTTGTATTCACCAACAAATAATACTGTTTCGTACTCGTCAGGGGCGCGCGAAACACCTCCGAATGACGCTGAGCGACACGGGCCAGTGCCGAGTGCAGCACCTCTGGTTCCCAAACGTGCACGACATGCTGGAACACTTCCGGGCGCATCCGATCCCGCTGGAGTCGGGCGGCGCTGCCGACGTCACGCTCACCGAGTACGTCGTCTGCAGCGACGGCCGCCAACAAGTGAGCCCACACACGCTGTCCTAGACGTTGTGTTCCGTCACTGTCGCGCGTGCGCCCGTCTCGCTCGCACCCAGCTGCCGGACAAATGTTGATGTCGCTGTCCCCGCAACCGTGCGACACGTGTACGTGAACGTATACGTGAACGCACGATTGCTTATGGTACAAGTAAATGAACAAGAAATATACATATTTATGTATTTAATATATCTATATAAATAATAATAAAGAATCTGTAGTATATTGCAATGAACAATCGTAATCGAATTTCTGGATATAGACGTCTTAATTGATGTAAAGTAGATCCACTGGTGCTTCAGAGGTTGATTTTACCGATGCTTTAATTGTTGTTTAATCTTCATGCTTTGAGATCGGTGGCAGGGATCACGTCATGACGGTGGTTCATAATACCAAACTCCAAATTGTGCCTTTGAAAACATTTGATCATAAATACGCTGTTCCTGTACCTACGGCGGTTACCAACTCATTGGTTCTAGTGATTTTCTGGGCTTCTGGTAAGAAAAAATGACAGAGCTATATTAAAAATTCACTTCCTATTACATACTAGATCATTAATATGGAAATCCATGCAATAAGTTCACTTTACATTTGTTGTGAGAGCCGACTTTTAGCACCGCAGTGACAAAAAAAAGTAAAGCAACAGTCTCTCCTTTCTGAGAAGGGTTTGTAGGATAAAAAAGTCCGCGTTCTTTTCTTTAATTTCTCAAGCATGCAAGTTCTCCGCCAAGTACACGGTAAATCAGCACTTATAACGGCTTAACTTTAAACGGCTTGATTTCACCGTATCAAGTGGTTTGGGTTACCCAAAATTATATATGACGTAACCATCACTGAAGTTGGACCAAAGGAATAGGCATTTAGTTGGATTCCGATAATGATAAAATAATTGTGCGACGCTTACACTAACTGCCCAATCTAGGCCTTAACGTTTGGCTATAATAGCAGATATTCTGATTAAATGTCATTTGAAAATCCTTTGTACATGACATTTACTATTTAGCAATATTAGATTAACTCATGAAATAAGCCGCATCCAGTTACACTCTCATCAGTCCGCTCTGATTTGGATTGATGATTATTAATACTATATCCTCTTTGAGTCAAATTAGAACTACAATAACGTTTATCTATTGGAATGGTTCATGTATGAAGTTTTGTCACATCATCAGTTTTTTGAAATCTATTTTACCATATTGTTGGCTATTTTTATTTATTATGTATTGAATTTATACATTTCATAATTATACAAATTGATATAGATTTCTTTTATACGAGGCTTAGAATCCCACCGAAGTCTTCGCCTGTTTATGTAAATATTTAGTTTTATTACACTAGTTATAAGCGAAATATGACATCAACACATTACAAGAAATTTTTCCTTGGAGATAACTATTTATCTGTAGATTTTTTGCTCAAAATTGGCTGCCGGTGTCCACTTATTATCCAATGTACTTTTCAGCTCTTACAGATTTCATTTATATTTTTTTTATATCAGTAATATACAGCAGTAACATTTATGAAAAAAATGACAGTGATTTATATACAGGGTTATTTTGGAATAACTGGCCGAATTTGCAGAGAAGATTCAGAATAATTAATTAGAAAAAAAATTGAATCATTCTGTCCTTTTTATCCTTTAAATTCAAAATGCGTGGTATAATACATTACTTTAACTGATTTTAACGCGCACGCACGATCGATCGTTCGATTAGTAGGGAAAAACGTTGTTGCACATAAATCACATTCAATTTGGGATAATTTCTAATAAAAGTAGAAGCCTTATTTACTCGTATTTTCAAAAACAGTAATAACGGTATATCATTATTTATATATTTGAAGTTTAAAATTTGGCTACTCTGCAAAAATAACCCTGTATAATCGAAAAGTTAATAAAACACGCGCCTATTCAAATACAACGTTGTGTCAAAATTTCAAAGCAATCAATGAACAACTTTTGAAGGTTTAAGATTTTTAAAAAACAAAAATTTAATTTTTTATTTATTTAGATTATAGGACGGACCACAAAGGAATACTTTACCTAATTTCTTAGCTATTTATATTACAAAGTATAGGCTTTTATTTTGTAAAAATATACAAAATTTCATCAACATTTGTCTTGCTTGTGCTGCAATTTTGTTTGGCCTATCGAGAATTTTGTTATTGTTATATTCATTATGTTGCTATTGATGTTGTAGCGTTTGGCTTTTCAATGTACATAGACACTTCTGAAGCCATTCCTGATATTCCAGGTCATAACCATTTGTTTAAAATACTAATTACTTAAATCAGGATATTCCAGGTTATAACATTTTGTTTAAAAAATTGATTACTGATGACGGTCTGTGCTGTTTATTAAGTAATTTTGGTAGATGAATGTGTCACATTCCACATTCACAATACTTGCAAGAATATGCAGCATATTAGCACTTTTTATATGTTTTGATACTTTTCAATGCAAATGTGCTCAAAATTGTAGATAAAAAATGTTATTATAATTGTGCTGTATTTACAATATAGATAGACTTCCATAGGCTTTGATGGTAACATAATAGTTTCAGTGTCTGTAGAAACAGGATGTGTCAACTTTGATCCTTTTTCACTAAAATGTTAAATTAAGACATATTAAATAGCATTAAAAATGCCTTAAAATATATATTGAAGATATTGATGCACCAATATAATTTCAAAAACAGTTATGAGATAATTTTATAAATATTAGCTTTAACAAATAATTTAGTTTGTTGCAAATAGTTTATAGACATTTTCGTTTTTTTTTTAGTCGATGAAAGTGGAAACCTGTTACATTGATTCCTGAGCATGCATTTTATTTATTTCATCGATTGTAAAGTTTTATTTATATTTTGTCTTTAAGTTATGTTACTGTGTAGTACGTAGATAAGTAACTTAATAATCACAATAATTATGTAATGAGTTATATAAGGGTAGGTCCACACTTATCGATTGTCATAGACAAGTGTAGTCTGAACTTCAACCTGCCCATTTTATGGTTCTTTAAAGTAGTGCATTTTAATGTAGTATTAATTTTTTTTTGTTTACGTTTTAAAGATGATGTGCATTGTGTGACCAGTCACAATAATCCAGTCCAAGCGTAGTGTAATTTATTGCCAGTTTATTTAGCTTTACTGTAATAAGTAATAACCCATAACGTAAATGTTAATGATTTAGAAATATTTTTTATATTGATGGACTGTTATTATATTGTACTAACGCGTAGATCGTATTTCTTAACAAACTATGTTTATATTTTGTACAAAACGAACTCATGTTCTTTCGAGCTTTAATCACATTTCTCGGTTGTAAATTTTATTATTAAAACTTATTCTGCTGAATGGCTTCTGTTTTTTATTTTGCTGATTATTATTATTTTGCCTGCTGTTTGGTGTTTGTTTGCGCCTGTCTTAATATAGGTAAGTGACGTTTCTTTTATTGCCACTATGTTTAATCTATGCTATGACTATTTCCGTCTTTCAATCCGATTATAATGTGGGTGTTATCATGGCAAGAATGAATAAGCTTTTGTTAAGCTAATGCAGCGCGCTTTACCGTCTTTGGCTGCATCACCACTTATCATATTCGTATTGCCAATATAATAATTATTTTGTAATGCGAAATATCGTTTTAAGTTATATCGAATGCGATATAGATCTTGGAGATCGAGCCAAGCCTGAAGATAGGTCACTAACCAAACCAAGAACATACTTTGCCAATACCGGCTTTATCCTCAAATAGTATTATAGGCTTTTCTCATTGAATACGCGGGCGACACTAAAAGTTTTTAGAACTGGCAACTTGTAATCGATATATTTAAAAAAAGCAGTTCAAATTTTGAAAATGGAGCTCCGCCAATATTATTGTATATGTATTTTTTTAATTTGTCATTTGTTTACGATTTAGCGGCAAATTGAAAATTGTCTGTGTCACATCAGCATGAATTAACCGAGTAAATTTTCGTAAAATGATTTTTTATGACTTTCGATGTCATTTAAGTCAACAAGAAAGTTATTGGCAGTCGTGGCACTGGTTTAATGAGTTTAAACGTGGTCGCACTAATTTCGCCGATGATCTGCGTGAGGGACGGCCTTCTACGGAGACAACTGAAGATAACATCAGTGTTGTGCGGCGTATGATAGAGACTGACAAAAGAGTGACTTATCAGCAGATTCTGACAAGCTTAGGCATCGGTATGAGTCAAGTGCACAAAATCCTCCATGAACATTTAGCGGTCAGGAAGCTTTGTGCCCGGTGTATACCTCATAATTTGACAGAGACCCAAAAACTCCGTCGTGTTGATTGGTGTTGTGAAATGTTTCAAAGATTTAACGAAGGTGACTCAAATGCTGTGTTCGACATACGGGTGACGAAAGCTGGATTTATTGTTATAATCCTGAAACTGAAACTAAGAGACAGTCTGATGTCTGGGTGTTTCTACTAGTAACGAAGCTTGAGAAAAAAGAGGGTGGCCTCGTTCTTCGGAAGGACAGGTCATTACGCAACAATTGTTTTAGAGGATCGAAAAACAGTTACTGCAGTGGTACAATAACAATTGTTTGCCATTTTTATGGACGCCGAGGAAGCTGTGGCTACGTTTGAAAATGCCGTCGTAGAGACCCCTAAGGACGAGTGGGCAAAGTGCTTTTCTCAGTGGTTCTATCGGATGCAGCGATGTATTGATGTAAAATAGACACTATTTTGAAAAGATATAGTAAAACTAATAACTTGCTAGTTTGTTCAGTTTTCTTTATTTTCTAAGAACTTTCAATGTCACCCTCGTAGAACAGATTTTTATTGAATATATATTAGAAGTAATTCTTGTTGAGTCACTTTTCACTTTTACCACTGATTTCGAAAAAAAAAAACCTCTGACCCTGGTAGAACCGGCAAGAAACCCAAGGGGACTCTTCAAAGTAGGTATATTATTATACAATAAAAACACAGGTTGTAGAAACTACTTACAAAACTTGATCTAAATATAGTAGGGTTATTATAAATAATAACCCTTTTTATACAGTTTTTTAATAACATATTTAAACTTGGTGATACAGATACCTTGTATATTTTCTGGGACTTTATTGTAATAAGGAATTCTAGAAAGTATTTGCCACAATCGCCTCGCTATACAGAGTCGCACCTTATATCGCCAGCCTGGACAGTTCACATGTGGCTTATGTGCGACACGGATGTAACGCCATCTATTGTAGGTCGCAAGATCTGATATATACCTACCTTAGTTGACTCTTACGTCATCAACGGATCGAAATGGGTTTACGGGTTATCTAACGCCGCCACATGGTATAAAATTTAGGACGGAAGGTACTAAATAAGTTATAAGTGAGTATTTGTTAAATGGATACCTACTAACAAAATCAGTATAATAACTGTGTAAATTCTTTTTTCTTTTAATAGAATAGGGTGGCATACGGGCACACAGTCCACCTGATGGTAAGTGATTGCTGTGACCCATAGACATCTACATTTATCCTCAATAAAGAATCAAAATGCAGATGCGTCGGCACCCGTGAGGACTAAGATGGAATGCCTCTTTCCCAGTAAAATGGTTCTCTTGTTCTCTACACTCACCATACGAAACACAGCAGTGTCAAGCTGCCATTTTATTTTTTATTCTGTGAGAGCGTGGTCTTTTCCCGGTCGAGCCGACCCTTTCGTGCAACAACTATACTACTAATATAGCTCCAGCATGGCTCTACCACGTATAAAATTCTCTTCATGTCCAACGTATCCGCTTGTCTGCAGCCGAATAGTCGTTTGTGCCTTACATAACAGCAAATAATACGCGGTAGAGCCACGTTAGTGCAGTAGCACCGGGGTATGACCATGCTCTCACAGAATACCAGTGTATAATAGCAGCTGAAGGCTGCTGTGTTTCGTATGGTGACTGTAGAAAACCGGAGTCCCTTTTTACTGTAAACGAGGCATTCTATCTTAGTCATCAGGGGTGGCAATGCATCTGCATTTTGATTCTTAATCGAGGATAAATGTAGATGTCTATAGGCCACAGCATCCACTTGCCACCAAGTGAACCGTGTGCTCGATTGTCACCATAATTCTATAAAAAAAATTTATTCGGGGTCCATGGACACGAGATGAAAAAATATTCATTCGTCGTCTTTGAAAAACTTGTTAAAAAAAAGACCCATTCGTCGTCTTCTTCTAGGCCTGTAAATAACTACAGCTGGCCGTGGGCCTTTACCGATACCTATAAATGAAGGATTTGCCTTATACATTTATCCTATATTTTGAATTAGCACCTTTGACGCTGTTGCCCATCGACCATCATCTATCGTAAGCCATGTTTCCGGAAATTTCCATAGTCGCCGGACCACAAGAGGTGAAGAAATGAAGGATTCTCGTAAGCCGACACACACTATTTCTTTTAGTTACAGCTTATCAAAACTCCACTTATGAACATAGGTTCCCATAGACTACCTTATAGGGACCTCCTTATTATTTTCCATATTAACCATGCGAGACAACCGCAGTTTTTTTATTATATTGAGTTCTTATCAGGAATTTCTGCTGCCCATCTTCCGTTTAATTTAACTCTGTTGCCTTTAAAACCATATAATGATATGGGGTAGTGAGTTCTTTCGCGCCGCCACTACAGCGAACCATACTATTAGGTACCGCAAAGTTTTATCTTGTTTAAGTACATACATTATTTATTTAAATTTTAAAACATAACTTTTTTAAAGTCAGTAAATAAACTATCTATTGAGAATAGTGTACTCAAGGCCGTTAATACATTTAGTTCTTCATCAGCCTGTAAACAGTCACCTGCTGGATACATGGCCCTCTTTTATCGTAGAACTAATGAAGTAATTTAGTGTCTCTGTAGGGTTTTTATTGTGTTAATACTTACCTATTTACATAAGTATAGTACGTGAAGGTAAAATGGTCATTCGGTTAATATGGTCACTTTCTTATAACTCAAAAACTACAGCCTTGTTTGCATAGATGGCTCTGTGATAGCTCTTCGTCAGTCATTCAAATAATAAAAGGGTGAAAAGGGCGCCGCTTTATCGACGCCATTTTGACAGTTGATATTATAGTAAATATTTTAGTATTGGGTAGTGTAGTTAGTTTTCTTTAAGTTGACTTTTAGAAGTACTCCTAATTATTGCCAAGGCTTGTTTGCTATTTTTTTTCTTAATATATTAGTTATAGTATACGACATAGTGTATTTGTCGTTGTCCTCCTCTTAGTTATGGTTTTATAGGGCGACAAAGCTTAAGATTACTATATTATCCTCACATACTCACAGAACACTATAACTCCTACGGAGCACATACTACGTAATTATTGTAGAATCAAATACAAGTTTATTTTTTACGCCATAATTTTTTTAACTGGCTTTACGACTCTGGGTTCTAGCCCTTCTGAGCCTCCGTAATAAAGTCCTCTTGCCAAACAGACTAATAGAGGTGTAGTGAGGATTTGTTATAATCGCCACGCTCGCCAGGCTATTTGTCGAACGCTGGAAAAGCTTACTCTTGAAATCGATTTCAAAATCGATTCAATTTTGGAACTCGCTTTGTTTCGATATTTTAAAAAGCTTGCCTACTCCAAAAAAAATGGCGTAAATAACATCCGGATAATGTTTTTATATATTTTTATTACAGAAATGGGACAAACTTTAAAAGAAAATTACTCGCTTGTGGCAAGGGCAATATTTTTTTTATATAGAAAAGGGTCAAAAGAGCATGCGTCTCACCTGATGATAAGTGACTATCGCCCCCCATGAACAACTGCAACACCAGAGGAATTTCAGGTGTAATCCCGGTCCTTTAAAATACAGTAGGCTATTTCCTCGAAGGTCCTTAAGTCGTATCGGCGGAACACTAAAAATTTCCATTATGAGAATTCCAATTTACATCGAGTTCGAATAAAATTCTATTGATAGAACTCGTTTTTGTCGGGAGTAGACTTACGTAGCAAATGAGCACACAGTCCACTTGATGGTATAAGTGGATGCTGTGGCGCATAGACAATTACATCAATCACCGATTAAGCCCCTGAGTGCTAAGATGGAATGCTTCGTTTCCAGTAAAAAGGGTATCCGGTTCTCTACACTCACCATACGAAACAGCAGCATTAAGCTGCTATTTTACGGTGACTGTTCTGTAAGAATGTGGTCCGGTCCGGCAGACCCATGCGTGCTACAACCGTAATAACAGCTGCAGCATGGCTCTACCACTTATAAAAGTTAATTTAAAAAATTCTGTTATTTTTCCCCAGTTGGGCGTAACTCACGGCAGCGACGTGAGAATGCGGAGGGCTGAACTGGAAGCCTTACTGGTCGCCAGTGGTGCCCAACATGACATACGGGCCGTCGACAACAAATACAGTTTTATGTAACGTCTGCTGTCCTGTACTGCACACTATTGCTAGCCGAATTTTCTATAGATTTTTTGAACAAGTCGTTCCAATGTGTTACTGCCGCTAAACACTAACATTTAATTTTATTTGTATTTGTAAATAAAAAAATTAGCATTAAAATACATTTCGCGGTAAGTGTAATAAGATTATTATTCGTTTAGAATATGGAGTGTAGAGAGTAGGAGGACCATCTCTATACAATGAAAAGTGTCCCTAAAAACGTGTCCAATAAGGGTGGCGTTGCAGTAGCATAGGATAAATTTAAAAACACGCCAAAAGTAATTAGAATAACATGGAGAAATAATAACCTAAACAAGGACCGACCAATCCGCTTAGTTTTGTACTACGTAAATAGTTGAGATTTTGTATACTGGCCTTTTAAGAACTACTCTAATAATGAAATTTTTTAAATATTTGAATTCAGCTGACTTCACTCCGTTCACAATAGCTATCTTCATATCGTAGTTTTTCAGACGCCAGCGCTATTGTGCTAGGTTTTGGAACCTCTATTTTCAGTAAATAGTAGGACACTTTTTCAACTTTCGCCCCTTATAAGATTGTTCTCCTTGTACTCTACACTCCATAGTTTAGAAGCAAAACCGATTTTGTTTTGTAACTTTATGGCTCAATTCATTAGTACATACGGTATTCGGGGACTTCCCGCAAGCGGGTGTGCCATCGCCGATTTGAAATTTTGTTGATACACTGAAAAGGTCAGTGAAATTCACCGGTCAAAACAGCGTGCGGGCACAACGCGCTTTCCACTAGCTGGTTTCTTTTCACTCTAGTTTCGCGATCCTAGAATATTCTGTAATTTCGTATGTGGCGTGACCTTGTCAAGTCAACATAAAGCCCAACCTCTCCGCATTGCGTACGAGGTGTGCAGTAGCATTTCGGGCGGAAATAAGATGCATACATCTTGCTGAGCGCTGACTTTGTAATTTGAGGGATTTAGAGTTGGAAGGATTCTCCGCGATACCACAATTCGTAGCAGCCAACTTCACATAGCCCCAAAATATTATATTCCAAGAAATACAAGTTTCACAATGTTTTATTTTAAATATTATGTTATATCAGTACAGTAAAGGGAAACAATCACAGGCGTGCCGCTGGGGATCACAGTCGGGCACGTAATAAAACGGGATAAAACGTTGCATTTAACGATTTAAATGATGCCGGCGCAGCGAGGACTAAACCCGCGTTACTCGCTTACTGTGAAATTGTGAAAGGAGCGCATATCCGCTGAGATAGTGCTTAAAGGTTATTAAACTATTTAAATTTAACTAGCAAATATTTAGTCTACGAGCTAGAATACGAAATTACGTTGTTATATAATATACAAAAAAAATTATAGTTAAAACATGACGCCACTTTTTAGGCTTTTTAAAAAGTTACAACTGGCAGAACGTCGTATATCTAGGAAAAATATTAACCAAAAATTAAATAATATATTATATAAGTATGTACATGAATCACGTTTTCATAAATTATTCAAAAGTAATTGTGTTTGTTACCCATAATATTATAGTGCACTATAATTGAATTTAGTACATACAATTTACTGTAGTAAATTTTAGTCAACAAAGCTTTTAATATAGAATAATTTGTTATCTTCAGTTAACACTATTGATTATAATTAAATAACTAATTTTCTCTGCCAATCGAATATAACATTATGTATAAAGTAAAAAGTGACCCAGTTTATTGTCCAGTAAACATTATCGTATACTCATAACGCTTAGTATATACTATATACGTTTTTCTAAATCAACTTTTTCACTTCATGTTTAGTTTATGTAGTATTAACGTATACATATTACAGTAATTAATTATTTCGGTGTGCAATATATTTTAAACATGTTTTAAGATAATTAATGTCATTGACTTTGAATATGCCTTAGAAAAATATTTAGTTTTAATGCATTAGTCAGACTATTCAGATAAATATCCTTAAACGAATGACTATTAAAATGTATGTATTTAAAATGTGTAAATAGAAATAAATATATTTAGATTAACTTATTGTTATAAATGAACTTGTGAAAAATGTATAATAAAAAGTTCATATAATAATGAAAGGACTTATTCACAGGAGTTAATATTTAGTTTTATCAGTTAAGGTTATTTTTGCTATACTCAACTTTGCACACTGCTCATTTTAAATAATATAGCACAGTCACTTACGCATTCCGTAAAACGTACCCAGTTATAAGTAATACAATCCGTATATTTTTGTACAAAAATAGTACTTAGATAAGTAATTAAGTACGCCTGGGGGAAGCAACGGTTATTTCTGAGAACAATGTTCTAGTAAAATCGATCAGAACCTTCAATGTATTTATTATAGGGTTAAAGAATTCCTTTTCAGTCGCTAGTTACAAAAAAAAAAGAAAAAGAAAAAAGAAACGAAGTTTCTTACAAGTTTAATCTAGTCATAAAGTATTTTAGGATACAGGGGTTCATTATATGTTAAATCCATATTTGGATGACTTAATTCGTATCAACTTATTATAATAATAAATATTATAAATAGTATAAAGCAGAAGCGAAATGAAGCTATTGAACTGATTGTCACGAGACTTTTATATATAAATCCGCTGAAAATATTGACAATATTAAGGCGGTATGACATTAGAAGGAAAGAATTATGATAAAGTTTTCGATTCACTAAGGTCTTTCGAGCCAGATAAGTGTTATTAAATAATAAAATTTTAGATAAAATACCTAATAAAATGTTGTTGGAATTGAATTACAAATAATGACATTGTTGTTTAATACGATATGTAAATTATTGGATAATTTTGATAATTTCAAATCTGCCACACGGCTGTAATGGTTATTAGGTTGACTTTTTTTACACGAATTGAAGCAAATACCTACCGTAATTGCAGCAAACAATGGTATAAAAATTAAATTGCGTATATTTTACGCACTGTAAAAATTATTTCAAGAAGTTAGGTGTCACTTTACGTAAGGCATATCTTGTATTAATAAATTGAATTAATTTCAAAACTTCTTGCAAATGGCTTTTTGGATAAATACAATTTTAGCCAGCCATTTGTCAATATTCGTTTGATTAACTTTTGTTTATAAAAGCATATTTTATTAACACTCGCTCGATTTGTATTAAGTCAATGTTTTACAATTTTCACTTTTAATACGAAAAGTTAGTTTAATTTTATTAATGTACGAATGTTTTCTATGTAAAAAAACATTCCTTATTTTTAAGTTACATGTAATATTTGCATAGTGAAATATAGACATAATATATTTTACAAGAACGTGGTTTTTATCGGTATGCAATACTTTTTGTAAAGTCTGTAAATGGAATGCTTAGAGTGCGCGAAGGCCTCTCTCCCAATACCCGGCAAAGCTGCCGGTACTAGTAGCTGGACAATGTGTATAAAGCTGACACATGACACACATAAAGGAGCCTTGCATTTTCGCCGGCCATTTTGTCAACGCAGAACACTGTCAAAACATCCATGTGCAACGTATTTGTGAAATCAGTTACCTCCAGCGATTTTTCTGGGCTGTTACGACTTAGTGACCTTCAAGAGTAGCCTACTCACCTGTCATTTATTTTTTCATAGATAGTCACCAACGGGTGAGCAGCATGCTCGTTTGGCCCCTCTTCAAAAAATCCATTATTTGACTAATGTCGTGGAAGACAAGGTTTTTTTTTGTAGGAAAATGACTAACGTAAACCCACTGCGTAGGTGCAAGGACAGGTTCAGGTTGTATACCAGCCTTCACCGAAGAAGGCTCCGAGATGTTTCAACTTAGAAGACGCGGCTATTAAGAAAACATAAAAACGCGTTTTAAAAGGTGTCACATTGAACGTGTTGTCACGTTAAAATAAACGTCCACTCCATAATTCAACTCTATGTCGACTACGGAGGAAAGGTGAGGAAACCACTGCCCCACAGTTTAATATTTGTAGCGCTTTTTTAATTTTAGTTTTTATTAAAATAACCACACCATTTCTGAAGTAGAGAAAGATTGAAAATAATAAAAAAATTAGGTTATAATATTTAAAAATATATATTATTTTTTCCTTACAGTTAATTGACGTGACAACCATACTCAATTACAATAGTTTCGAAAGTGCTTGCATTAAAAATAATTTGAAATTCACTTAGTAGTCAATACACATTATCAATCGTCTAGTAGCGGCACTATGTAGAACTCCGAGAACATCTGCTTTTGGTCTTCTTTTTCCAGTTTGAGCTGGAGAAGCAAAAGTCCGTTGGAACTAAACCGCAAAACAACCTGCGAGGAAAACGGACGAAATTCATTGTTATATTAATTACAGGCTGCAAAACATTCCATGTTGGTTTTAAGAGGTAACAACGCTTCGCAAGTAAATCCATCATTCTATTACCAAAGAGTGTATGTAATAAGTATGTAGTATGGTAGTAACTAATAAGTATACCATAAGAAACCCATTTCGTCCCCGTAATGTCGTAAGAGTAGACTAAGGGAAATTCTAGAGAGATTCTCGTGGCCTCCGACAGATGGCGGTATAAACATTTGTACAAATAAAAGTGTTTGTAATATCAAAATGACAGTTTTTTACTCAATGCCACGGAGCAAATACAAAGACGAGACGGCGTAAGCAACTGTGCACTGTGATTCTATCTAGGTTCTGACGTCATCACAGTGGGCGTGGCTTTAGTTAGTATACTGTCATCGATCATCCTATGCGCTTATTATCGAAAATAGCAAATCTTTGTATTTTCGTAGTATTAAGAAAAGGATGAAGTGTTGTGTTTTATCGTGTAAAAACTACTCAGATAGACGCTCTGATGCTATGGATGGCATCACATTTCATTTGTAAGTAATTTTATACCAAATTTATCAAAATACTAGAAAAATCTCTGCGTCCGCTATCAAATATAGT